TCCCTTCCTCCCTTCCTTCCTTCCTTCCTTCCTTCCTTCCTTCCTTCCTTCCTGTATGTGCGTGTGTGTGTACTTGTGTGTGTATTCATTTATTTGTTTGTTTATCATATCAATAAACACGTGTAATAAAGGAGTTAACTTGCCATTACTGCTTTACATTGTTGCATCAATAACTCAAACATTTTCCAACTCTCGATAATAAATTTGTGCTGTTAGTCTGCAGGTTTTGGAGCACCTGTTCTGCGTGGAAGGAACAACTTGTAACTGGTTTTACCCTCAGAGCCATCTTCAGTTTGATGGTGGAGTTGGGCCCCGAGTTCTTCAGAGGGAAGCACTGAGTCAGCATCATGTCCTCCTCCGTCAGCAGGCTACTCAGAGGCACCCGTAAGTTACCCAGAGTGCATCTGTGCTTCTCATCTTTTATCTAGCAGTAAAAACAGCAACATAAATCAACAAGCCAACTCCCCTCTGTCATAAAGCATGATTCACAAATGGCTATGTCTAATGTACAGTAGTGTTACCTCCACCTCCAGCTCCTGCCTCCTGGGATTGTGGATGAGGAACGGGAAACAATCTTCCCACAGAGGTTCCCTGGTCTTGAATCGCACCTTTCGGGACAAACAAGTACTCATTAGACCAAGAAGCCTCAAATTAGGAGCACAGTCCTGAAAAATCATCTCAGCTGTAACTTTTTATTCATCATAGGCTTTATTTAAAACTAGAAATATCACAAAAGTATTTGAACACTTTTAAATAGGAATTCTGATTTAAAACCTGTCTAAATATTAAACCCTATATTGCTCATAACCTATACACAAATATTTATTTAGTTAATTTATCTTACTCTGTTAGAAAAATCTACTGTCTTATTATTATTGAGTATAATTTTCAATTGAAGCTTGAAGAGTGCAGTGTATTCAATTTGCATATGAAGTGATTGCATAAATTATTTAAGGCTCATTGTAGGCAAGGTGACAAGTTTAAATTTCATTTTCATCTCTGCCAAACCAATGAATTTATTACCACTAAATACCAACACATTAATAAGAAATCAAATTAAATGAAAACATGCTTACCTATTGTATCAACTGGAAGCTAAATATGTAATAACAAGAAGGGTTTAGACTAAAAAAAGTTTTAAAATATAAAATATTTCTGTTGCTTTGATGCAATATTAATAATTCACAGAGACTGAAAGTCCTGTTTATACTGTTGATAATGTCAGATGAAAGTCAAAGATATTCAACACCAGAACAGACCAAGAGAGAAAATATCACAGATTTTACAAAGCAAAATCCTAATCAGCTTAAAGGGATAGTTCAAATCTTTTGAAGAAGTGCTCTTTGGAAAAGTTACAAATGATAAATATCTTACCTGTTTTGGATGACTTTTTAAATGACAGAAATAAATAATTAGTTATCATGCGTCCTTTCATCCATCCATCCGTCCGTCCATCCATCCATCCATCCATCCATCCATCCACCATCTTTGTTTTGCATTAGCTTCAGCTTAGCTCTCACTCAGCTTATGTAATTTTGGAGGCACATTAAGCAGCTTGTTAAGCAGCTGGTCAAGCCCATGAATGACCCATGGTCACAGTTTCTGCTACAGTCAATCCTTTAGCCATAACCATTGTCTGTATTTAGTCCCCTCTCCTTGGAATGATGCTGATTGTTGACTTTGGGCGGCCCACAGTAGGGCTGTCATTTCTAACTCGGGCCTGAAGCCCGACCCCGCCCGACTCAAATTCAGGGCGTGCCGGGCCATAATAATGTGCTGGATGGGTGGGCCGGGTCAGTGACGGGCTTTTGATTGCATCAGTGCATCAGCCGTGATCCAGTTATATGGCAACATGGCTTGCCATACATTTGAATTACTTGACAACAGGGCTTGCCATATATTCACCAGCCGCATGTGGCAATTTCACCGCGAGCTGACCGTCCTTGAAAGAGGCCAAATAAAGTTCAGTTAAGCTTCAGATGGGGCTATACTGCCAGGAAGCGATCCATCGCCCAAATGGATGTTCATTCAGCCGCTGCACTCAGAGGACGCGCGCAACCTATGACCCAAACAGGTGAGATCCCAAAACAGATGTGTCAGAGCATGGTCCGTGTCTGAATAATGCAGAATGCAGGCAGAAGCAGGGATTTAATGCACTTTGATGGCCATGAAAGGACAAACACCCCCTCAGCTCTGATCTTCTGCCCCTTTTATTCAGCTGCGCCCGTCTGCCGACCGTTAATAACTATATAAGCAGTCAAACCTTAATTAAAAATGTCGAGGGGTGGGGTTTCGGGTTCGGACCTGTAATTACTGTTAATTCGTGAGGTTGGGTGGGGTACGGAAATGATGGCTATGGGCTGGGGCTGGATCGGATTGGATGCCCAAATGCCACGGTGGTGACCGCAGGCAATTTGTGGGTCATGACTTTTCAGAATTTGGGGAACCAAACAAAGCCAGAATTAAAATCTGTTTCTTCAGTCTGAAGTCGTTCATAGAGTTAGCCACAACAAGTAAAATAAAAATCAATTCCACAGAATCCCACTTCAAAAGATCTGAACTATCACTTTAAGCACAAGATCTGATTGGCTTTACTCTGTAACTTTGTTGGGGCACTAATGATCCACTGTGAGGCTGATGGTCCTCCTTTTGCACATGAACAACCAATTCTGACAGCAAACTGGTTGGTTCACTATGACAAAGAGCTGATTATAAGGCTGAGTGTTCTTGCAGGGTTTCAGACTGAAGAAGTCTTTTGGATAAAAGATGAAACATTTCAACAAAGATGAATCCATCCAGATGACCTGACTTAACCTTGTTAGATTCTGTTCTTGCATTTCTTTTTGTTTCAAGCTGCAGTTGTAGAAGCTCGACAACGAGCCTTTCTTACATTTACATGTGTATTTTTGCATTTACATTTAATTTTCTCACATTTGCACATTATTTTTAAAAGTGTGTTCATGGCCCATCCCTTCATTCTCTGGACTTTGCATTTCCCTCTATTGGGAATCATTCATTTCCTAACTGAAACACAAATAACGGGTCTTCCTTCTCCCTTTGAATTCTAATCGGAAATTTTCATATTCCAAAAGCTGATAAACACATTTCATCTGAATTTTATGGTATCTGTGTATTTATAATCCTTCTTTATATTTCCATCTAGTTTCCCTTTCATGGCTCCCTTACAGTCATAGAATATATTCTGTTACAGGAAGCTCCACATACAGTTCATGAAAAGGTGGACTGTGTGTAGGCAAATACCTACATCATCAGATGTGGCTAAAGGTTAAATAAGTGAAAATATTGAGCAGCACCAAAATTAATCATTTTTCATCAGAACAGAATTAAATGTCAAAGAACAAATCAATGTAAAAAAAATTTATATATATATATATATAAAAGAGGGTGGATAAAATGAATAATGCAGATGTGGATCCTCACCTTACTCTCGAGTGTTTTATGACCAACTATGAACTGGACATAAGGGCTGGGTTCACTGCTGCTCTTCTTGGTTGACTATAAGACAATCAGAGAGGGAGGTGTTACTGTATTGCCCACGCTGTGACACACTTTAACGTTGGACGATGAATTCACACCACATGCTTGTGGAGACCAAATCAAGCGCACAAGACTGAACGAGCCTGTGGTGAAAAGGAGAATGTTTAAGACAAGCAGGGCTGCAGGCAGAGATGCAACCAAGGAGAAACTGTTTTTACTACAGGCTAAACTAGGCATGATTAGTCTGGATGGCTAAGGATTAATCAGTTCTCACTAATATTGACATGCCAGAGGCTCGTTTATCCTTATCTTCCTCATATCTGATTTTTGTTTCTCTCTAGATTTAAGCTTCATTTTGTGTGTAAAGGCTTAGTATATGGTCAATAGTACACATAGACTTTAACTAAGGAAAAGCAGATGGCATAGAACAGGGGTGTCAAACTCAATTATAAAATGGGGCCAAAATTAAAACCTTTTTCAAACTAAGAGCCGATTTCAGAAACTACATTAACTCAAGTTAGATACCCAACATCTTTTCTTGGTCAGAGGTTCCTCAGCAAGAGTTTGATTGGTCTCATTTGACATTATTTGTGGTGCATTTGACATCATATTCAAAAATTACTGAAAAAAATTCAAGTGACAAAAGTATTTTACATTTCTCATCATCTTGGGGGGCCAGATAAATGTCAAAGAGGGCCACATTTGGCCCCCGGGCATTGAGTTTGACACCTGTGGCATAGAATAATGCAAAATATTAATTAATAAAACAATCGCATATTATTTATTAAGTTTTATTAAACCAGGCAAATCCCACTGACATCACATATCTGCTTTACCAAGGGAGGCCTGAGCCTGAAGGCAGACTAACAGACTGGACTGTGCACGGGGAAAATAAAAATGCACTAACACGAGGAGAACATGCAAACTTCACACAGACAGATCCCAGGTCCTAAATGGGGATTGAACCCAAGAGCTTCTTGCTGTGAGGCTACAGTGCTAAACAATAAGCCGCTGTGCTGCTAAAGTTAAAATAAAGTCAATAGTTTAACGATTTAACATAAGGTTAGTCAACTAAACTGCTCAGGGGGGTTGGACATTCAGCAGTTATTCTCATAAACTTGTTTTATGATTTAAAATCAAGTTTTATTTAAAAATGAACCCATTGTTGGGCCGAACTGGGCACACCTGTGGGCCTGATTTGGCCCACGGGCCGCCAGTTGAATAGCCCTGATTTAACACATCAAACACATTTTTCAAGTATTATGTGTGACTTTGGGGCAGATTGTTTTGAAATGAGGTTTTGTAAAAATTAAAACATAAATCCTGTCATATAAAGTGCATCACACCTCTCAAACTTTTCCTCATTTTGTCACAACCACAAACTTCAACGTGTTTTACTGCAATTTATTTTGTGATAGTTCAGCACAAAGTAGTGCATAGTGCGTTATATAGTAGTGAAGTGGAAGAAAAAGGCTATATGTTTAAAAAAAATTAACAAGTAAAAATCTGAAAATGTGTTGCGCGTTTGCATTCATCGTCCATTACTGTGATACCACGACCATCCAGTTCAATCAATTACCAACAGAAGCAACCTAATTAACAGAGTCCACCTGTGTGTGATTTAATCTCAAGGCCTCAGAGTTCTGCTACAAAACAATAGTGATCAAAAAGCATCATGAAGACTAAGGAGCACACCAGAAAGCTGCTAAGTTTTAAACAGAGTTAGGCTATAAAACAATATCCCAAGCTTTGAGCACCTCAAGTTCAATCCATCACTTTATGACATACATAAACCTACCTAGATATGGCAGTCCTCCTATACGAACATGCCGGGCAAGAAGTGCATTAACCTGAGAAGCAGCCAAGAAGCCTATGGTAATTCTGGAGGAGACACAGACACAGAGCTCAGGTGGGAGAGTCTGTTGCCATGACAACTACCACTCAAATCCTTTATGGGAGTGGTGAGAAAAAAGCCATTAGAAGTCTCATTTGTAATTTGCCCTAAGCCATGTAGGGAGTAGCCCAGTTAAAATCCAAATCCAATTGAGAATATGTGGAAAAACAAACAAACAAACAAAAAAAAAGCTGTTTATTATGGGGTGTTGTTTGTAAAGTTACAGTCAAAAATTAACAGCAATATTTTGGTTTATTTAACCTTTCATAAAAAAAAAATTAAAAAGTTTTTTTTTTTCAAAAAGTCATATTTTTGCCATGTACTTTCATACATTTATAAATGTCATAGTTCCAAACTAAATATTTCATTTAAAAGCTAAATATTTAGTTTATGAACTAAATACTTAACTTGCAAGTTAAATAGTTAGTTAGCAAGCTATATATTTAGATCCACACTAAATATTTAGTTTACAAACTAAATGTTTATGTCCAAGATAAATGTTTAATTTACAAACTTAATATTTAACTTGTAAGTTACATATTTATTTAGTGAAATAAATATTTAGATTTAAATTAAATATTTAATTTCCAAACTAAATATTTATTGTCCAAATAAAATATTTCATTTCCAAACTAAACATTTAATTCCTCAACTAAATATTTAATTTGCTAACTAAATAATTAGCTTGTACCTAAATATACTGTTCCAAGCTTAACATTTAATTTCTAAAATAAAAAAGCTAACTAAATATTTAGCTTGAACCTAAATATTTATTTTCCAAGCTTAACATTTAATTTCTAAAATAAACATTTAATTTGTGAACTAAACATTTAACTCGGACCAAAATATTTATTTTCCAAACTAAACATTTATTTTCCCAAACAAATATTTAATTTGCAAGTTTAATATTTAATTTGTAAATTAAACATTTAGTTTGGACATAAACATTTAGTTTGTAAACTAAATATTTAGTGTGGAACTAAATATTTAGCTTGCTAACTAAATAGTTAACTTGTAAGTTAAACATTTAGTTTGGAACTATGACATTTACAAATGTATGAATAAGATGGTGAAAATTTGACCTTGAAAAAAAAAAAAAAGCTTTTTTTTTCTTATGAATGTTATGTTAATTTTTGACTGTGCAACTTTACAAATGGCACCCCATCGTTTATGGTCACTCTCTACTCAATCTGAGTGGGCTAGGGTTTTTCCACAAAGACAAATGGGCCAAAAATATCAAAGCTGGTAGAGACATATCTCTAAAGGCTCAGAGCTGTAATTGTTACAAATAATATTGCTAAAAAGTTATGACTCAGGGGAGCTGAATACAAATACAGGTCACACATTTCAGATTTTTATATGTATAAAATTCTTAAAACCACGCAACATTTTTCTTCCACTTCACAATCATATGTTACTTTGTATTGGTTTTTCTCAGAAAATCCCAGTAAATTCCTATGAAAGCTGTGCAAAATGTAAAAAAGTTCACGAAGGCTTTTTCAAGGCACTGTTGAGAAGTTTTAGGGCTTTAATGTGAAAAATAAAACAGATTTTCTTTAACTGTAAACATTTTAACATGAAGACAAAGACAAATTTTTTATTCATACAGAAATGTGAACAAAAATGTGTATAAGTTAATTATTATTCTAAAAAAAAAAAAATATCTAAATCAGCCAGAATTGGAAAACAGAAAATCAGCAATTAGAAACAACCAAGAAAACTGTGATCAGTTCATTAACAAATCTGTTTAATAAATTAAATTTGATAAATGTATATTATATATGTATCTAAATCAGGCCAAAAAAGTCCATGCCCAATAATCCAGGTATACAATCCAACAATTTTCAGTCAGTTCATCTGGACAGTTTCTTTTTTTGCTGAAACGTTTCACCTTCCATCCAGAAGGCTTCATCAGTCAAAGAAACACACAACACAAAACTGATTCTTCTTCTTGATTGGAGTACTGTTTGGGGGAAGAATCAGTTTTGTGTTGTGCGTTTCTTTGACTGATGAAGCCTTCTGGATGGAAGGTGAAACGTTTCAGCAAAAAAAGAAACTGTCCAGATGACCTGACTGAAAATTATTGTATCCAGATCAGGGTTATTCAACTGGTGGCCCGCGGGCCGGAAATGGCCCACGATTGACTTCAATCCGGCCCACTTCATAAAAAAAAACTTTTGGGGGAGCAGGGGTTTCTGGGTTTGAGTTTTGGGTTTTGGGTTCTGTTTATTGCATTAATGACTCAATGCAATAAAATAAACACATTTAAAAGGTAACAGATCATTGTAAACTTTGGTTTATTTACCATATTTTTCACTGTATAAGTCACACCTTTTTACATAAATTAGCATGCCCTGTGACTTATATGGTGAAGTGACTTATTTATGTTTTCCCCCATATTTATAACCCAATTTTTGGCTGAGATCTGACGATTTCATTCATTCTGACAGAGAAAATATTGAACACCACCATTTTCAGCCACTAGAGGGCCCTCGAGTAATATGGCAAGCCAAATGTCTCATTAATAGGTAAAAGTGACTATTAATGAGCCACTTGGCTTGCCATACCAAGCCACCTTCTTCTCGCTCCAGAACTCCTGGAGCAAACATCAAATCAGCTGCATTTCGCTGCGCCGCCCAGGCGAAATGCAGCTGATTTGACTATTAAAGTGCCTTTATTAAGGAAAAGTTCAACTGAGACACACCTTTACTATAATGTCGTGCAAACAAATAATTATTTTTAGGTGATTATCTTGTTAAATTTCGAAGAAATGCACAATGAGTCCTCCCTCTGTGCGCTTCCGCAGCTGCAAATCGATTTTTGAAATGCAGTTGATTTGACCGTCAAAGTGCATTTATAAAGGAAAAGTAAAACTGAGACACACCTTTGCTATAATTTCGAGCGAATAAAAAAAGTTTTTAAGTGTTAATCTTCTTAAATTCTTGTTGAAGTCTTCCCGTGCACGCTCCCACGGCCGCCATTTGGCAGCCAATCGATTTTTGGCACAATACCGGCCCACATTTCTGGTTGGTCAGTGGTGATACATAACAAATGCAAGATGTCAGCGGTGACGCATAATCGATGCGACTTATATGGCGAAGCGACATATTTATGTTTTTTTTGCCACTTTATTAGACATTTTTGGACTGATGCGACTTATATGGTGGTGCGACGTGTATGGCGGAAAATATGGTACATAATGACTTTAATTGCTGGATGTCCGGCCCTCGAGCTGCTGGCTTTCAGTGTGTCCCTCTGAGCAGTTTTGTTGAATGGCCTTGATCTAGATCATCAGTTTGATGTTAAAATAAAAAAATCTATATACTTTTAATTAGTTTCCTTTTAGAATTCTAAAAATGTTAATATACCATAACAGGAAACAAAACTGGACTGCTGAGCATTTAAAAAATACTTTCACAATGACGCTATGTTTGTTTTCTCTAAAGAAGATGTAAAAAAAAAATAAAATAAATGGCTCCATCTGCCAGCCTGCTGTCAGCCACAAGGGCACTAAAAGTGAACAAGATTAAACTACTGGGAAGAGAAACCCAAAGTGCTCCTGCTGTCCTGCAGCACAGAATAAATCTGACACGGCGAGTGTATTGTCTCGCCCACACACACAACGGAGGTGAGGGAGTGCCACTGTGTGTGAGATAATGGAAAGCTTTGGAACTTCTTGGAAAAAATACACACGCCACTCTCTCCAAAACTGATTTCTGAGTAAGGTGAAGTTCGCTTTGTTGCTGTGTTGCAACACATTTTTTTTCTCTTGCTGCTGTGAATGAAGAACATGACAGTCATATTTGTTGTGAAAGCTTGCCAACAGACCTGTTTCCACCTCTTCCTGAACATATTAAACAGTTTAACCTGCCTTGTGTATAAATATGTGAGAAAACATATACAGAAGAGTAAAATCACTGCAAAGGAAAAGTACAAAAACGTTGCCCTACAGGCATGACAACCTAATCCTGAGCACTACATCCAGATTTAGCCAACGCTCTGGCACGTGCGCTGCTCTAAAGTTGTCCTGCAAGTTTTGTGATTGAAAAACCTTCATCTCAAAACAAAGGCCAGACACATAAAACTCACATTACCATCATTCCATCAGAATGAAAGCTGCTTGGGTGCAAACATGCAAGCTCGTGTTAAAAAAGCACAAAAACAATTCCACATTTAAAGACGTGCAAGACGACGCGACCGAGGGATAACGTCTTCACGCACAATTTCACTCTGACATGGCGATAATCGTCACAATCACTCGACACTGGATGGTGCATCTGCGAACCCAAGGGTGTGATCTTTACATGCAGACTCTTCTTCCCACATTTACCTTCAGGGCCTTAAAGACTGAGACTTGCTTCAACCCATCATGGGGGGGATCTGACGGGTTGCTCTTAAAGCCACCAAGGAGATTTGGGGGAGAAAAATCACACCCGCAGTTAGTTGGAATGAGTAGGCATGCTTAAAAAGCACAGGAAAAACAAGGTAATGTGTAGAAATTACTACTGAAAATGAATAAAAGAATGAATGGATACTTTTTTTTTAAGGGCAGTGTTGGGATGATACTAATGGAAGGAGAAAGGAGCCAACAATGAAAATGGAGTAACAAAGCAACAAGGAGGACGTGGACCGGACAGGAGCTCTACCAGAACTGAGATATTCTACTAAATGAGCACCATATGTGGTTGAATAAAACTACAACCTAAAAAAGAAGCAGGTAAAAGTACCTAAAACGGCTGCCCCCTGAGGTTTTTAAGTCTTTTCTTCATGTTAATGGTTATTAAAATGGCTAATTACATAAAAAGCATGCAGTTTGCACAAGCTTTGAAGCAAAAGTTTAGCACCTTTAAAGTGGAACTTTGTGGGAGGAAATGGTTAAAAAATATCTTACCTGTTGCAGATAATTTTTTTAATGGCCTCAGTCAATTTGGAAAGTTAGTGTTTATTTCTGACCAAAATAACAAAGTTTAGTTCGTCAAAAGGGGTGCTAAAATATAAGTGTATTGCCTTTAAACAACTTTAATTTTTTTAATTTAAATGCAGCGTTTACATACATGTTTATTTTACTTTATAGTTATTTACATAGACTTTCATGGTTATTTGCAAGTAGGGGGTTGAACGACTGCATATTTTTTAAAAGTTGACATTAACATGATAATAGTCGAGTCGACTAGTTGATGACGTCATAGGAATTCAAAACGCTAAAAAAAAATCGCAAAAAAAACCCCCCATCATTTATTTAAAAAAAAAAAAGAACAACAAAACATCGGGAGTGTGCTCCTACCATTTATCATACTGCAAATAAATAACAGGAAAGCCAAAACTATTATTAAGCTGCAAACGTTAGTTTTATTTTATTTAATCCACTAAATACGTGGTGGTGCGCAGTGGATTCTCCGGTGGTGCGCAACTCTGTTTTTAATTTTATTTTTTACTTTATTTAGTGAATAAAATAAAATAAATGTTAAAAAAAAAAACTATCCACCACCGCACACGGTGCGTGGGTGGATTCTACGACGACGGTGGTGCACAGTGCACACAGGCGGTGGTGGATTCTCCAGTGGAGCGCACCCCTGTTTTTAATTTATTTAGTGGATTAAATCAAATAAAACTAAAAACAACATAATCTTGAGTGAAATAATTCCACACTGTTGATGAATTTCTACCTGTTTGGGAAGACTTGGCCTGCTCCTTGTCTTCCATCTGTTTGGAAGAATCCGTTTTGTAGCCAGCGTCCCGGCGCTGATCACGTGACACAATCACTGACTGCGACTAGTCGACGTGAAATTGAAAACCTCGCGAGATGTCCTAGATTTGACTAGTCGACTCAACCCCTATTTGCAAGTGCTAACAGCATTTGTAACAAGTGCTTCCATCAAATTATCATATACTGCAAGGGAGAGAAAAAAATTCATGTAGCGTTAAATTAAAGTATGCATGAAATAGTTTTTGCAATTAACGTAATTTTAAGATAGCAGCAATACACTTTAGTCCAATCAGAAACTATTTATCCAAACTGGGGCTATTTAAAGAGCAATCTGCACCATGCAAGGTACAGTATTAACAGTTCAAAAGCTTTCCACAGAATCTCACTTTAAAAGATCGTAACTATCCCTTTAAGGTAAAACTGTTGAGCGTTTCTGTTTTAGTTCAAACCCATGTCATCACACGTTGCTAATGCTAACTCTACGGAGATGCAGACGCACTAATACACTCACAAAAATCGTTCTACCCTCAGTCGTATTGCTTTCACAAAAGATCAAGCCAGATGCTCTCCTCTCACTTAAGTTCCCACAGCCTAAGCTGCCTGTGAAGACACCCTTGGGCGAAGGAGGAGAAAGAATACAGAGGAAACGGAGGCGTTATGAGAACTGTGATAACGAAATAGTGTTTTTGATCCAGTTGTACAGTTCTTAAACTACAAGGCTGTTTGCAGACTTTAGGTAAGTTTAGTTGCTTCAAAAACTTTTAAAGCCTCAAGTGATAAACTCAAAGACAGCTACAGGTTTAGAAATTTAGGTTCACATTTAACAACAGCTTATAAAAATTTGGCACCCAAGTGGTGTCACCCTTTAAAAACTTAGTGGTGTGATCAATACAGAAGCCTGGGGAAGAATTAAGTTTCCTGGCATACTATATTCACAGCAGTTCAAAAAGTACAGTTTTATTGCTTAATAATAAACGCATCTACTATATTTGTCAGGATTCAAACTGATTCAGTTATAGAGGCATTTAATTTGGTAAATGCTTAAAATTTAATAGGAAACTTGTGTCCATGGGCGTGAAGTAACTTCTGCAAAGGAAATTGCAAAGTTTCTGAAAATAATCTGTTACTTATTGAAGCTTAGGTAATAAAAAGTAAAGAAATACTTAAAAATACAGAATATAAAACAAATCTGATCTTCTCGTTGGGTTCACATTGGGTTCACTAAGTGCGCAAAAACAAACACACACACACACACAAAAAAATCAGTGAGCATGGAAAAGAAACAGCTACATTCTTAGGACCTGTTTACACGAAAATGATTTCTGAAGATGGAAGAGTTTTGCTGCGTTTGGTCTGTTCATTTACACAAAAATAACAAATGTTTTCTCTGACAATGGCATGATTTGAGAACGGGTTCCAGAGTGCAATGATTCAAAAACGTCCTGGTGTCCGTCGTCATGTAAACAGAAAAAAAACAGATCGTTTCTGTCAGGGAATCCCTGGCTCATGTGCAGTATGACGCAAAACATAACGGCTTCCTACAATCCACAGAAGAAGAAACTATCAACAATGGACTGGCATGATTCCCAGTCAATGTTCTCCTGAAATTTGGTGGTTTTATAATTCAAAGTCACACTAAGCAACAGTTGAACCGCATCATCTGTCCATAAAAATATCTTATTCTCTGCCATCTCAACCGTTGTAGCGACTTTCAGGTAGAACTTTTTTTTTTTTTTTACTCAATGCGTACTTAGAGTTTCAAGTTTCAAAAAACATAGCACCAACTAGTGGCGTGGCGAGGGAATTACACTGTTTCTGTGTAAACAAAGATTGTAATTAGAACGTTTTTATGTAAATGTATTAATAGACATGGGAAAAACATCCATTTTCATTGGATCGTTGTCGTGTAAACAGGGCCTTAAAGAATAAACACTATGACTCAACAACAGCAACGAAGTGCTGAAACCAACAATCCTTATTTAAACAAGCATTACTCTGGCATTTCTGCAAAAACTGGTCCAGGTGAATGTAAGGTGTAAGCATCTGATGGAGAACAAAAATCCTACATGAGCAAAATGCCACGTTGTAGCACACGCTAACAGGAACACAACCAAATCTTACAGGTAGGTTTTTAGCTGAGTCCAAATAGATCACCAGCAGAGCTGATGACAGTCCATCACTGGCTGGGCTTCTGTCTGCACGCACATTTCGCAGCACCTGATTGGACACGGAGACATTTAAGCCAACCCTCCATTATCATCAGCAAATTCTGAAACAGATAATGAGATCAGTGATACCTGATCCAGCTTCTCGGGAGTGGAGAACAGAGAGAGCCACTCCAGCTTTAGGTGGAGTTTCCCTGTCGGTGCTTCTTCCAGTTCAAACCACTGTAATAATAAAGCAAAGCTGGGTTTAATTTAACATTAGAATAAT